GTTATATGTAGCATCGATTCGAAGACAGTGGTCGAACATGTAATTCCGACTCCCCGACTTATTAAGGCCATGAATAAAGCTGATGAGATATTCTATAAATCAAACGGAAAAGTCAGCGCCTCGAGTTTAAGTGCATCGAACGAGTGCTTAACGAGAATTGAAAGTTTTGCGAACGAGGGCTCAGACAAAGTACGTTGCTATAAGTCCAAAAAATTCCAATTCCTATGGAGCTAACGCAGCGATCTGCATCTGGGCTCTACATGGTGATCTGGGTAGTATAAATATCAAGAGCTCCTTACTGTATCTCTGAAATTAAGGAACATTTTCGAACCAGGTTAAATCGATTTCGGTACCAGATTGCCCGCTCGTAGGTAATGTCAAATTCAATGCACAAGTCTAGCAAAAAGTATTTTCGACGGATACGTCGGCCTCGACGAAGAAAGTTTGAACTTCTGATTAGTGTTTCCTTGATTTTGCTCTACATAATTTTAGTGAACTGTATTTCGATCTTTTTGTATGTCCGCGATTGGGATTTTTAATTGTACCTACTTTTAGAAATACTGAATGAATTAAAAACTATTTCTTATTATGGTGCAAAACGATGTTCTCAGTGTAAGTGCATAACTAATGTCGAATATATTTCAAAGAATTATATTATTTTAGAAATTTATATTGACCGTCAGGGGTATTGATTTTTTACATCCTTCCTGGCGTCTTTTACCTGGTAGATATTCGAATGGCGAGTGTGGTCGCTCTGAAAAAAAGGTTCAATTTACGCAGGCCATGTCGTGTTGGGTGATGACTGCTCATATCGCCCGCGACAGAAACTCTCATTGGGGAACTTTCAATCTGGTGGCGGAGTTGAAGGAACTATTGATTTAAGTAATGCCCCGACCTGACGAACTCGTTTTACCCTATGTTGAACGCCATTTACGTACCAGCAAATTCAAGAAGTCTGAAGTGAGTGCCACGGGAAAGATGTATTTTTCGAAAAAGTCTTCAGAAGGGGGATTAAAACGCATGCAATTTAATGCAATTGATCAACACACTTAATGAAAGCAAATAGGGTATAAAAATAAAAAATATATGAATATGTATATATTTCCGTATTTATTTGGGTAATAAATTACAATGCTGTCGTCATAACACAATTTCTACAGGGGTTAGAGCTTGGTAAATGATCTAACTTAGGCTTATTGACAAATGATCCATTCGAATCGAATTGTGATTCTTCTAAACACGAGGTACAATAAGAAAATTTATCATTTTTGAAAGGCGGATTCATAGGGTGCGTGTAAAGGATATCTCGCTTTCCCGATTGCGTGATTGGAAGACTCGAAATACCCATGCGCGTATGGCGACTCCGCTTCGAATGAGGTTTGTCATTAGTGTCGTGACAATTTTTTGTTTCAAACACTAAATTGAAAATTCGACGCATCAGTGATTCACGGTCCGGTCTGTGAATTTGCTGTAATTTTATCGCCAACAATCGTGTAAAAAGGTCAACTTCGTCTTCGGAGTTTGCTCGTTTGGGATGAGGAACGTGAGAACCGTCGGCAGCTGATGACATCTTAAGTTGATTATTCAACAAAATTATTAAATTGATGATTTGCGAACACGTTTCTGATAGATGCACCAGACAATTCCCTTTGAATGAGAGGCGAAACAGTCAAGAGAATTTAATCTTGCCGCTCAAAAACAAAACTCTGGAGAAATAGGATCTTGAACACGGTGAAAGAAGAACGTTTTTTCGTGGCTCTCGATTTGCGTATGACAAAACTCGACGGTTTAAGGTCGGACCATCCCTCGTTTTGAAAAGTCTCTTTATTCTTGATAAGTCCAGAGTTACTAGACAGTTCTAAGATTTGCCACCAGAATGATTTTTCAGCGTTCCTTAATCAATTGGAACCGGATAACGAGATCTCTAGCCTGGTTCGGTTCTTGCGCTTGTGGTTTCTTCACTTTCACCTTCACTTGATTTTTAGGTTTATATAGATGGGCAGCGCTGAGGAAAAACTGATGAATACGTTCCGATATGTTCGGATACGCTCGTTTGAATGTAAACTCAGCGAGATAATCGAAAAGATATTTTTTTCTTGCACCGAAGCGCGGGATACCGTTTCTGACTTCGCGCCACATTCTCTCGACAGTTTGGGTGTGAACCCTTGGATCAGAACGATCTACGAAGGTCAAGCTATGATTTACGGATTTATGCTTATATTTAAACTGGTTTAGTCTATTGTACGATCTCCACATGTCAGTAATGATGAGAGTGCCCGGTGCAACCCATTTTCTTATGATGGGAATCATAACTTTAGCCGTTCTTTTTTCTACAGCCTCTATGAAGACTTTCCTTCTGTTTGATCTCAACACTCCACCGAGGATCCATTGCCCATTTTTTATTTGGCGACCTTTGTTAGAATATCGTTTACCGAGCTTTGCTTCGTCGATTTCAACGACTTCCCCTACTCCTCCTATTTGCTCCGAGTTTTCAAACCACCAGTCGATAACTACTTCTCTGCTAAAGGATATCCAATCACTGATGGTCTTGTGCGAAAGTCCTAGTTCTTCTACGATAAAATTATACAACGCAGATTTATGCCGTAGCCAAGCAACGGTAAGCACAAGAATTTTATCAATTGGCACCTTAGCTCGTGAAAAATACGTACCAGCAAAACACGATTGTTTAAACTGATATTTCTTCGGTCTTTTCATTAAAAGCGGTTCTCCTTCTACGTCGCATTGTGCTTCATTCCTACGTTCATCATCAAAATGGGCCCTTTGACACCTAAACCGGTGATTCCCCCAATCCAGATTAAGAATTGCACCGCATTTTGGACAGGCGACGTGTTGGGCGATGAGATTATGAGATATGATGAAATTCAGCATCCGATCCTCATTGTCACAAATTTTAATCATTTGGATAAGATTAATGCAACAACCTAAACAAGTGCTCATTTTCGTTGTTAGTTGGTCTGTACGTTTAGTGTTCGACCGGTTTCCAACGCCAAATGCAGCGTTCCGATTGACTTACGGTACAATTAATCAGATTCTTTTTTGTCCTCCATTATGACAGGTTATAAACTTCGAACGCAAACTGTTGAGTTCCATGCAGGCGGAAACGTTAGCTTCTATTTTAGTATCAACATGTTTGGTATGTGCCGCAGTGAATTATTCGTCATATTTTTATCAAATACTCATGACAGTCTTCTTCGCGGAAGCAAGGAGTTTACCCTCAATTCTTAAAAACGGCACATCTCACATTCACTGTACGTGTAAGGTGAGGTTGGGTAACTGGGCGGTGGGGTAACTGGGCAGTACCCTCTGTATTTCTACCAGATTAGTGCAAAAATTGTTTTCACTGTTGGCATACCTTCATTATGACGTAAACCATCTAGAACATGTAAACATAACTTCAAAAAAAAATTTTATGGTGAATGGTGAAGTGCCGAAAATTGGACAGCTTTTTTTTCAAAACAACGCCGGAGGTGGTCCCGAAAAGAGCCTCATATCTCACTCCCAGCAAGTATTTTATTCAACTTTGACAATTCTTCTTCATGTATGATGTATTTGTGTAATGCGTGAGTAATTACAACGTAATTGGATGAAAATACTGGCTGCAAAGGGTTGATGCCCAGTTACCCATTGCAAGGTTACTGTGCTTCGGCGTTTGTTTACTTCTGAAAATGTCAAAACTAATTGACTATTGTGGACTTTTAAGTGCCAAAGACCAATAATCAGGGTTCCCAGCACACTAAACTTTTAACTTAAGTCAATTTTAGCATAACTTAAGCATTACTTAATTACATTTTTGCCGCTAACTGTTATGACATCACTTTTAACGACTTAAACATGGTTATATAAATTCAAATGAAATTCTCTGAAACCCTCATGAGAAGGACATTCTTTTCTGGCCAATGAGAATTACAAATAATGCCCCCCTTAAAAATTAAGGGAACTCTTTGGCGCCTGACTCTATCCCAGATCAGCCTTGCGGCTTAATTTTTTTTCATTTTTTTAAAAATGTATCATGCTTAATCTCACTAAAAGTGGCCAAACAGTGTCCTCGTATACAATACTACTTTATAAGTAGTAATCCAGAAAGTTCTAAGCATTTATCTACAAGGAAATAATTTTTTTTTACCGTTATTCAATTCTCAGATTTGAGGGGTTTTTTGCCGCTAACTGTTACGACATCATTCTTAACCACTTAAACATGTTTATATACATTCAAATGACATTTTCTTAAACCTTCATGAGCAGGACATCACTTTCTGGCCAATGAGAATTAAAAATAATGCCCCCCTCAAAAATTAAGGGGGGGTAGTCCAGTTACCCCACGACGTTGGGTAACTGGGTGGAAAAAACGGGAAATTTTTGAAAATTTGTGGGAAAAAATTGAAAGATGAAATTCGACTTTTGACTCTTCCTACATTTAGACAAGATGTTATACTTACTAAAAAAAATTTAAAAGTAGCCTCCTTTGTCAATATAATGATGGGAAAAAAATCATGAAGTTGAAATTTTGACATTTTTCTCCGAACTCCTGCCCAGTTACCCAACCTCACCTTATCGCGCGTATCTCACACGTACGCGTTGGGTTCCTATACCTACGTACAGGGAAATTTATCAACTTGATTCTAGTAAACCTAAAGTAGTGATTTGAACTGGTTTTAGTTTGTTTTTTTCCGCACACATTTTTCATACTTATTGGTTCCGCCATTTATCTCTCACTAACTATTTGCTTGGGGTTTACTTCGTTAAATCAGCACGTCGGATTGTTGGGGAGGCTTGAGTGCAAGATGAATAGACTTAATACAAGATCAATAGTTTGTACAATTTTCTTCATTATTTTTTCCAAATCAACTGTCGCTCTCTTCCCGGATGAGCATGTGCGGCCGAAGCTGGAAATTTGGCCGTTGGCATCGAAAAAATCAATCGAACTAGGTTCAAAAGTCGTGTTGACTTGCCGAATTGCAGAGGGAACGTCCATGACAGAGATGCGTGATCTTTACTGGTTGGATCCGCAGAATCGGACGATAGACAACAATAATTTATTGTTCAAAAATCGAATGACTATCATGCACATGCATGCCAAAAAATCTCTTCTCCTTATGTTCAAATATCTGAACGTAGACGAGCGCGGACAGTACACTTGTGTCGGTACACATCGCAGCGCTGACCAATATGCCACATCAATCTTTATCGAAGTAATCGAACCGATATCATGGGCCCACGCACCAACGGCTCAAAGCCTGATGAAAGGGAAGAAGGGAAAGATAAAATGTCAAGTGGCTGCCGATCCGTCGCCAATCGTGAACTGGATTTTGAATAATGAAGCTATTCGGTCGGGCGATCGCTATGGTATCGAGTCAGATGGCCTCACCATCGATAACGTCCAAGCATCAGACGCAGGCTCTTACACTTGCCGTGCCATCGTCCCCCAAACGGGAGAGTTCGCTGAGAGGGTTATTGAAGTTGGGGTACAATCCGTCTCAGCCAAAAACGATTCATTGATCTCGCGAACCATAACCGCGGAGGAGAAAACATCCGGTATCACTTGCGGAACATGCACCATGCCGCCTCCGATATTCACATTTATTGAAAAATCAACGAAGCAAAGTAAAGGCAATATCAGAAATCGGTTCACGGTCGATGCGCCAACGCTGCAGTATCTGATCAGAGGGACAAAAGGAAAAATCAAATGTAAGGTGAATGGTAATTTTCGGCCAATCGTCAATTGGATCCGGAACAACGAAATCATTCCGTCAGGCCACCGCTACTTGGTCGGCAGTGACGGCCTGATCATCAGTAACGTTGAGGATTCTGACGGCGGCCGTTACACGTGCCGTGTGGTTGTTAATAATATCAAACAGCTTTCCGAAAGCGCTATTACAGTTGAGGTGCAGTCTTCTCCAGTCATTCATGGTACAATGATTTCGGAAATTACAGTCAAAGAAAAAGAGTCCATCAGCATTCAATGTAAAGCGTTTGGCAGGCCGCCTCCGATTTATTCGTGGATCAAAGAATCGGAAGGGCAGATTGTGAGCGAAGAAAGTGGGCGGCTCATAGTTAACAAACAAACTGGTGTTTTGACAATCGACAATGTTTTGAAAGAGGATGACGGCGAATTTCGTTGCCTAGCCACTAACTCCGTTGGTAACGATGAAAAAATAGTAAAAATCATTGTGATTCTTAAGACTATAAATCACCGGACGGAAGAAGGCATAATCAAAGAACCGATTGCATCAAAGAACCGAGCGAAAAGATATTATTCAATAGGGGTTGTCATTTTAGTCCTAATTGCAATTTGTGTTTCTTACTATAAATGTTGCTGTATTATTAAGAAACAGATACATGCAAAAAGAATTGATGAAATGAGGACTAGGATGATATGAGCTTAGAAAACTGTTGAGCGAGTATCGAGACAAGACGAAAAGAGTCATTAATCGTGTTATGGTACGATATAATAAATCATTTTTGGACAGAGTGAACTTTGCAAAGTAATGCACCTTTTTTTCTCTAGCACGAAGATGAACGAATTTTTGAAAATCTACTTAAAAATTTTCAATCTCGAAAACGACTAGGAGATATTCTAATTCACGTGCACACTTCAACAAGTATTTTTCCAAAATTATCTCGATGCATCTGCATCGAGATCTGCCACAGCGTCTGCCATTGTTACACATAAGTCCTCAAATACATATTTCTATCGTAAACGTTCTCTTCGTGACTACTTTTGAAATAGTCATGCGATCGTTTCATTTTGCTTTTGACACTAGAATAATGTTGGGGTTCTTTTTTTTTGAGTCGCTATTACTCCACCGCAAATTTCGGTAATAAGAAATGTAAAAAAGACCATCGTGAATGACGTAAAAGTGCCCTGGAGGATCGATTTTATCGATACAAACCAAAAGGAGACGTTCATATTGAACGATCGATTGCTTTAATTCATGAAAATCCAAATATTAATTGAGCGTTTTCTATCAAACGGAACTAAGCGCTAAACTTTCAATTTCCAGACTATGACGGATTTGGATTTTCCGTCACTGAAGCTATCATAGGTATAATATGTCCCGAAAGAAGTTGTTTCTTCCCGTTGCAACAGCATATGATAAATCTTAACGCTGGATATGAGGAATAACGTATCAATTAAGTAGACAGAACATTGTGTCGTCTCGTTTGACGATTTAATGCGCTATTCTAGGATCAAGGGTGGATATCCCACAAGGCAGACCTAAGCAGCTGCCTAGGGGAGCGAAGTTTTGAGGGGCGCAAAATTTTGAGACACGTGCATGCTTTTTTAAGGATCGTAGAATTGAAATCGGTTTCAAAATTTACGGACGAAAAGAGAGGCGCACGAAAAAGAGAATATGTGTGAATCTGCCCTTGTCTATTGATAAGGTCCGTAAAACTTAAGCCCCCTTTGCATTGCGTGTCTCGTCTCGATGTCGCGCCCTTGTTTTTGACTTTTTTCAATTTTTTTGTCGCCTTTGTCAATTCTGCTATGTTTTAATTCCCTATACTTCCCCAAACTTCCTTTTACCACTGAGAGAAGTGGTCTTTAACGTATCTGCGTTTGCACATATTGTTTCAAAATGTGAATAAAAGAAACCTGGCAACAAAAGAAACTTTCACTTCCCAACCCAGCTGAATATAAAACATTTTTCTGCGTGAGCGTTTGTAATGGTTAGCTAACATAGGATATGAAATTATTTCGATGATGTCTCTTCCGACGAATGATACGGCCGATAAAAAGCGAGTATCGCAAACCTACGGTGCTGCGCTAATTAGTGATCAATTGGACGCTTTCTTACAAGAGAGGATAGAAAATATCGATTCCTCGTTGAAAAGCTCGGAATTGTTTCAAAGAGGTAATCAAACCCGGGCTTATTTTGATGAGAGCATCTTTGTGAACGGAGACATCCTTCGTAACCGCGGAGCTATAACAGTCAATAACCGCGCGGATAAATTTTTAGTAGAAGAAGTACATGGACTCCATTCCGTGTCCGCATGTTCAAACACGAGCGTCGTTCTCAATCCAAAAGCGCTTTGTGAAGGTTACAACGTCCATACTTTGATACCGTCTCACCGAAAAGTTTTGCTTGTTCATGGCTTTGAACAATTACGCGTTGACAACGGATCAAGTTATATCGGCCAAGGCGATGACGGTGACGGTCGTATTCACGAAGATGGTCTCTCTATCGAAGATTCTTACAGTGATTGTTCTATGACGAGTGATTCCAGTTGCGGCAGCGATACGAGCGAGGTCGAGAATGGTCATATGTCGTCAAAAATACCTCATTCAGTGGAAATCAAGATGGTCGATATTGTCCTATTTGAGCGAAGGCGGATCGACGTCACGGCTGATACAGCTATAGTCTACGATGTTAATCCTAATTTTACAGAAATGGAAATGGCCATAATTCTAAAATACTATTCTATGACCGCGTTCGCTCACCTGAACGGTGTATTGAGCTCGAAAAGACTCAAACGTATGAAGTTAAACGGTGATTTTTCACGCAACAACCGTCATATGTACGATATCAGAATAACGCAAAAACTTCACGCGTTAGTAAAAGAGTTTTTTCCTCTGACTAGAGACATGCGTGGAACTTCAAAATCTTGGTTTAACCTGCAACAGGATCCATCATTCGTGCAATCTCAAACGAACGAAGTACATTGCTCGGATGTTTCAATATTCCAACCGAGGCTAGATTTTTACGGACCTACTATCTCTTTGTATTGAAAACTCCCTTCATCCTTGACTTCAGTATGTACTACGAACGAGTGCTAATGTCCGCGTGCTAATTGGGATACTCGATTTTCTTGGTAAGTAACTTTCAAATGATGTGGATGCTTATTGTAGAGGGGTTTAATTGTCTATGAGATTAGCCCGTATGAGGGCTTGGCCTTAGTGCCTAGGCCAAACAGCCACTGACAAAGTTATTGAGGATCAAAACTTTTGAATAACATTTTGGTCAGATTCACTTTCATTGCCGGAAATTTATTTCTTAACGCTTTCCGTAGAAGTAAACGTATCGAGCGGGTTTCCCTCGGTATTTTTACTTACCACTCAACAAAAAAGGATGTAGAGAGAATATAGAATCTAATTCTTCGGAGAAAAAAGCTGTCAGTTAGATTTTTTAAGATGTCATTCTCCAGTGAGGCTCAACGTAATGAAGCATCAATCGGACAAAAATCTGTTCCTTCGGCTTCCGGACATTTTATAACGATTGATTCTAACGTCTTGACTTTCGCGAAAATGTTAGCTAATACAATCGGAACGTCAGGAGCCACTTACGCGTTAGACCAAAATGGTACTCGAAGGCTGATGACTCTTCTTGAGCCGAAAGCTTGGTGTGATCAAAATCAGAAATGTTCTGATTTATCGATCGAACGTTCATTCGATGACCAAATTTCTCCCAACGCTAAATTATATTCAATATATTATGACACACCTTTATCAACGTGCTCGTATAAATGCAAAGATTTGATCTCGCGAGTACTCACAAAGAGTACGTCTTTTCATGCCTTCATTCATATAGATGTTACAGTTGATAATTATTCTTTTGATGTACTGTGTAAAAATCTACAAGCATTCGAGGGAGAATCAACCGTTTTTATCGAGAAATCAGCGACTTTTTCGGCCCGTGACCTAAATGAACCTGAGTCTTTCACCTCCCAACGTAAGGAGAAAATTAATATGTTAAAAGGGACCCGAACCATCATGTTGGATGGTATTAATTGCTCGCGTAGCGTCATCGCTCGAACTATGAGCTGTGTTATTAACTCGTTCTTGTTTTTCGGCTATGTCGTTCACCCTGCTTCTTTAACTCGAATGGTAAATCATCACGGAAGCCTTTTACCCGACCTACAAGAAGGCCTACCTCAACCGGAGTTCCTTTCTGCTCGTACAACTCCTTACATGTGCGACCCATACGAATTCAGCCGGCTCGGTTTGGCAATGTCTAGATTCACGTCCGAACATCATAAATCCACGAAATCCCCCCTACTCCCGACAGGCTCAATCTATGTGTTCCATGATGATTCAGATATGTTGGAGCTATCAACTGTTAATAGGAAACACTCAAAGAAGGAAATAAAAGAGGCAACGATGGAATAATCGAAATGGCGAGAAAGATGGAGAGGAAATAAAGGGGTGGGAGCGACGAAGCAAGGACAGGAAAAGAAGCGCGAAGGGAAGTAAGAGTGAAGAAAGAGCATCACTGAAGAAAATAATGAATCCGTGTGAAAGAATCGTGATTCAGAACATGTATAAAACCAGCTGCCGCTCCTTTTTAATCGAACCTTTATTGACAAAAAAGAGAGAAAATAAATTAACGATTCTGGAGGGATAGCGTTAGGTATAGGGAATTTGGTGAATTGTAATTTAAAAAATAATTGACTGAATATATATTTAAATCATTAGATCGAAAATACAATATTCACACAAGAAACTGAATAGGAATACATAATGTCATGGCGATGATACTTTTAGTATTTCCAACTATCCTACCTACAGATATTAGGAGCTTCTAATACTTCATCGATGCTCATTCTAATTTCGATGTTCACAAATGAAAATATCCTCGTCAGATGATCTGCAAGATGATCCAGAAGCCGCGTCTTCATCTGAGAATGACGGATTATACAAGTCTTCGTATGACGAGATTTTCTGTCCTCTGTGAAGTGGGGGCGTAACACTCATCGGAGGAGTTCGAACACTTTCTTCAGGTTGGAAAGGCCGTGTCGTTAAAGACGGTAAACAATGAGAAGAATTATTAAGAGTCGATACATCTTGCGCTCTTGCAATTTCCCCCTGAGGGAAGTGTTGGTTTGACCCGACGAGTGGAATGGGATTAGGCGCATTTCGTTTTTTTGACCTCCATGTTTTTAATTTAACGATATTAGCAGTCATGGTGTCTTCCTCTGGTTCAACCCGAGATTCTGAAGGACCAGCGTAGACTGTCACGGTCTTCGATGAGGAGAGTAGTCTTAACGGGCATGGCTTAGTATTTTGCCGCAGAACAGGCAACCGCTTCTCCGTCGACATCGACGCGGTAACCGACGTACCGCCGGAAGTGCAATCGATATCGGTCGAACCACCTTCTACTTTGAGAGTAGCAAATGTTTCGCGATGATCCGAATCACCCATCGTCCTACAAAATTCTTTTCGGTTTGATCAAGAATCCATTGAAGTTAGAGGCTTTAAAGGGTTAGTACCGATTAGCAAATATGATAAACTACTATAAACAAGTGAAAATTAACAAAAAAAAAATATCAAAAGAATTCGGTGAGCTTTGGTCAACCGGTTGAACGACTGCTAGTTCATGTCAACGTCCTATTTTTTATTTATTCTTTTCCGCAACTAATGCTACTTGTTGAACCAAAAGAAGAAGGAATTTCTGACTCTTTTCTTTTTTCTTCATAGTACTTTTATTAGTAAAAGATACGACGACTACATTAAAAGGGAAACATCGATTGAACATTCACGATTCGCTTAATTTAAGCAATCGGTTCATCAAAAAATAAAGAAATAGTAGAGTAATTAACTAAATTAATTATTAGATTCATCGACGGCTTTTTCTGTCATTCTGCTTCTTTTTTGCGTGTTTCTGCTCGTTGCCTCCGCAAGGTTATTCACACCCGTGTCGTTGACATCTGTTTCGTCTTGTTTCTTCTTTTGGAAGTCAAAGTGTCGTACATAATAAAATCCATCCTCAAGCATGGAAACACCGAGCGTGACATTTTCACTTTTATTTAGTTCAGCACCGCTCATCACTTTTAAACTGATTTTCGTCGGGTAATGAATGAGTTCCAATCGTTTGCTCCATGGTAAAGCCATCAACGTACCACCGGTTGTACCGATCACATCGTACAAAACCTCCCGGATCTTTGTAATAAAGTATGTTGTTCCATCCTGATCCACGTGAGTCGGTATCAGTTTCCTTTGGTGATTTTTACCACCGACAAATACTTCGTATTCCGTATCCGAATCGGGGAATTGAATTTTGTTTTGTTGTGGCGCTCCTAGTGAAACATCCGGGTCAGCATTAATCTCATCGATCATATTCTTCAAAACACTCGTAGGATCTACTTTCAATTGATCGTATATAATCTTTTCTTGTCTATCTTTCACTCGAGGAGCCACGCATGTAGTGATATACTCGTTTATTAACCCTTCGTAGGGTATCAATGATTCGAATTTGAAAGATTTGTTCTCTCTGTCCAGAATGATTCGTTCATATGCCCGAGGATCGATGGTCCTCGCCAGTCGAGAGTAAGTACGTTCACCCATTAGATCGGAAACATAAAGAAGAGCAGGAACCAATTGTTCTCTCCAACTTCGCGATTCCGAAACTGAGCGATCCTCGGTACCGTCTTGTTCTTTCGGTTGATCCTGAAGAAACCTAGCCGGTTGCTCATTCGACAATTCTTTACCTTTGTCAATTATCTCTTTCACATCGGTAATCTTTCGGCTGTATATACTGGCACAGATGTTACGCCGTCTAACTTCTGACAGATTGTGCAGAATAAACGTTGCGATCGCGCAAAGTTGTGAAATGCTTTTGACATCGTGAAAATATTCGGGGACGATCCTTTTCGCTCCTAAGGATTTTGGTAAGCGATCCTTGACATTGCTGTCTGAAGAGTTATTTTCGATGGAGGATTGGCGGGCTGCTTTTGCCCGAGATTGATGTTCAGAAAACAGTAGGTAAGTTGTCACAACGAATCGAGCTTTGAAAGAAGATCGTGACTCCGTAATTCGTAATAATTCTGATTCATTGTCCAATTCCTCGAGGAATCTGATCTTACCCGACGAAGTTCGCGGGGCTTGTAGAATTCTGTCGTACAGCGAGCGCTCATTTTTATCCGGCGTCATCTCAGTAATCGTGGAATTGACTCTTTTCGGTAGAGAGTTAACTTCGGAATCGCAGGTTTGCATCGTCTTCCGTTTACGACTGACTTTCTTCTCGGAGTCTTCGTGCTTTATACCGCCAATTTTCTCAGTTTGCATTGAAGCCATTGACGAGGTCCTCTGTGACGTATCAAATGAAATAAGTCGATGTTGAATTTACGTACTATATTATGCGAGCAAAAACTTACGTGTATTTACTAACTAAAATATAGTATGTTAAAATGTGAAATACGCTGTGCTATTTTATAGCTACACATGTCCGTTCGCTCGCCAAGCCTCGACGATGTGCGAATGAGCGCTCTCATCTTAGGTCGGACTTTTTGTAAACGCGCCGGCAACGTATCGCGGTCGAAAGATGTTCCGAGCGGAAGTATTCCCGGTTTAAAATATGGATTTTCCTTTGACTCTATACCGCGTTCAAAACGATTGTTGACGTTTGAAACTGACGTACGCGCGCTCGTGTCTTTGGCAGCATTTGATCGAACGATGCCGTTTTTAGGCCCTTTCGTGAACAAACTACCCTTAATGTGCATCAATGTCAGTCGGCTTCGATATACAACAGAGGCGTTTTCCGCAGACGTCCGGATAACTGATCCAGTTACCGAGGCCCTACGTTTTTACATCGAAACAGATCTGAAGACAATCCGACAAATGCGATACTCTGCATCTGTGTTACCCCGTTGCACTGTAGGAAATCCACACTTGGGTGTAACACATAACGACAAAGCTACCCGACAACTAATTAGTGAATACACATGCTCTACTTCGTCATACGATGTCGCTCTGAGAAATCTTTCGACAGCTCTCGCGGAGGAGTTTCCTCGCACTGGTCGAGTGGGAACTTTAGGACATTCTTGGGATATAAACAGTCATATCATAAAATCCGAATTATGCGCTACGCTCCCACCGAATGAACTCTTTTCTGAATTTCTGCATTTATTGAGGACTGACGGTTATGAAAATTACATATTCCATTTGGCACGACGAACGGACGCACATGTTGATTTGCTCGTTTCTAAAGATTTACTCTTCCAGTACAAAAATTTTTCCAATCGAGTCATCGACAACAAGACCGTCTCGGCCACCTTCAACGATGCTCACTGGTACGTAAACATAACAACTCAGCCTGGTGAAACTGAGTAATTATGTGCACTTATTAACGAGCGGTACTCGAACATTTGCACCTAATAATATAATGTTTTCCATTTTTCTGTTACAGCCGATTCGAGTTTAAACATTTTTTTTGCTCCGAACAATCGAACCGTCCTGATGCAGACCGCTTCGAGGGATCTTCCAGGTCCGGTGTTTCCTCCGTCCGTCCTGTACCCAGAACAACGTACTACCTACACTTACGAAGCGAGCAAATGCTCTCATAATTTCATGCGCGAGCTGATCCAATTACGTCGCGGCGACGAGGTCGAATCGCTGGTCGCACGTTGTTCGAAATGTGGCATCGTTAAAGTGAAACGATAAATTTCATGTTACATATTTTCAAAAGGTTGTCATTTTTCAATCAAATTACTCTTTGTTTTACAGTTAAACTATTTTGGCACATGAAGTGAACACGGAAAAAAATGCATAGTCTCTGCGTAGACCGTCAAATTACACTCTGATCGTATTATTCTTTAATAATTTTCTTTTTCACTAAACAGCCTAGCGATTGTAATCCCTCCCTCTCAACGGGCATGAATTTTACCCACCTTCTTACACTTTTCCCTGCTTGATTCGACCAGTATTATTATCCAAGTATCGAAACCTGTTTCATAATTCTGGATGACAATTTGCCATAATCTTCCACGTCGCTTACTCTCGATAATAATAACGGAGACTTAGATAATTCGATGATAGGCTTTGGTTTTCTTCTGCTTTCTTGCGAACTTCTAGGTCGTCGAAGACTCATCCCGTCTCCGATGTGTTCATGGTCAACCAGTGTATCCTCGCCCCCAGAACATTCCTTGTGTGTGGTTCTTTTTAGACCGAGAGCTAATTCTGAGCTGAAATTTGTCACTGTGTGACTGTATGAGCCAGACGATTTATTTATGCTGGAAACTTCATCTGATTTACTGTTGGTCTCGTACCCTTGATTTTGTCCGGATCCCATCTCGCCGTGGTAGGATAACTCGCGGGTATCCCTCTTTCTACGATTTTGCAGCTTTACCAGGTACTTCGGAGCGAACGTTAACCATCGTTTTGCTAGTATATTAATCGCTGATAGTACCGTGAACGTGTTTCCTGAAATTGTATACGGCACATGTTTCAACAATGCTCCGTAAGATGAAGAATACATTAACTGTATGGTTTTGATGGGAGCAGTTAAGCAGGACTCTAAAAATCGATCACCCAAGATTCGAATGGCTGGTGTCATTGAATCCGAACAAGGAGGCCCGTTTTCCGGCTCGAGCAAATACAGTTCATCGTTCAAGGCCCATAACATCCAACCGAAAGGCTTCACAGTGATCAGACGATTACATTCCGTTTTTGTCGAGCGATCACCTATCACAAAATACGTCGATGCAAATTCAGTTTTTGCAACGGCTGAATTTATTAACCGCCCAACACCTAGAGTGCTGCTTTTTTTAATCAGATACACAAGTAAGAGAATACATGTGATAAACACAACGATCAACATTAAGCTCTCGATGCTACTAACCATTTTCGAATCTAGTTATTTTGAAACTGTGGTCGCGTTAATAGCCCAACGGACTAAAAAATCGTATCTTAACCGAGCAGTTCGTCCTAAGTAATGGCAAGGAATCGTTGACATTTATTTGCCCGCTATAGAAGGTCTATTGATTCTGGTCTCCTAAACAATTCAAACAAGTGATTGGAAAAATCATAAAAAAGAAGCAAGCAGTTAACTCCGACGCAATGTCTTGATGAGGCTCGTTAGTAAATATTTTTGCAACCTGCTTCACTTACGTTTACAAAAAGTTTATTGTCAGTAGGCAGCGCATGAATGAAATTTACGATTTGCGACACTTACTAAAAGTAGAGCTTGCAAATCGCATCAAAACTATTTGCAGGATTTTGAGGTTCAAGCCTACCTGATATTTATGCTTCTTTTTTGTCAATTTTGTTTAGGCTATGAAAAAAAACCTTAAGTTTGTGTACCGCAAAAAAGTCCCTGACAAATTTCGTCTTTGGTTTTGTTTTGAAAATTATTGTTACTTCTACTAGCCATAAGTAAAGCAAATAGCACTCAATTTCTTGAGACCTCCATAGTATATTCCTACATAAAAGGTTCCTTCGTCGAAAGACTATCGTCGAATGTTTTAAACATTGAAAAATCACTCTCATAACGTACGCATTCAATGGTTTATTTTGAAAATACGCAAAGAAAAAAATTCATATATGTATACCCCTTCATACTTTTACTCCTTTCAGGTTTTCGTGTATTATTACGTACACTATTTTTAAAATTATGGCCTGCCTCGAGACCTGCTTTATGTCTCACCATTGTTCACTTTGCTTCTTCCCATATCCACTTATTTCGTTTACGTACCTATAAAGCACCCGAATACGAATTTTTTGGGGACGTCGAATGACTAAAAACTTGTAAATATTTGTAAATATTACTGTAAATAAATGCATCATTTTATTTTCAAAAAATAATTCATTTTTCCTTCTTTGAGTTTTTGAGAAAACTGAAACATATGCAATTTGGCGCACAAACTTACTTAAATATGAGGTAAAACTGATGTTTCCAATCGGCAGATAAAACGTCTGGCTTCACTATGCAGGCAACTGAGATTACAAATTATTCAGGTCTTGCGGTTTTTCAATATGCCTTCGAAATAAGTCCTACCTCCGTGGATCAATATCTTCTTGAAATATGTGCTAGATATGCAACGTGACGGCTAGTATCAATGTAGAAACTTTTGATGTACGAGTTTTATAACGCGCTTCTATCACAGCAAGGAACCGTTAGAGTTTTGCTTTTAATATTTGCCTGTAACAAATGTTAGTCTCTCGAAAATCTCGCTGACAACAAAAGAATATAGCCGACTGTAATTAGCAAAACCATACCTTGAGATCTAAGGTGGCTGTCGGTCCGAGGTCTAGCAGCAAGCATTCCAGTAAAAATTGTTACCTACCCACGTGGGATATTCTTGATTGACAGTTAATGACTCAACATATTAGTCTGACGTTCATTAAAGGTTCCATCAAGGTTTAATTTTTCGATCAGTGATAAGTCCGAATTGTGATTCATTACAAATCACGGTGGTTAATCTATTGATAATTCTGTTAAATTTCCAGAACGGCAATTCAATTTAGAGAAATAGATTTAATAACGAATCCGTTTCGTGTCCAGTATTCAACATTGAGTTGAATTAAAAAAAAAACTGAATATGAAAACAAGAACGATGAACGATGGTAAACAAGGATTGATCCACAGAATTGATTGAAAAAGTCGAATATACCGGTTATGATATGAAAATCTCTGATCAGAGCGGTACCGTTTATCCGACAAAGAATCCAGATATACTCTTTAAATTGTATCGAGTAAGGCGTCCAAAATGGTTCCGTAAAGCTGCCGATTCAATATTAAGGAAGTACACCGAATACACGAATGCCTCCAAGTATCAGATCTGGAAAATCAGTTTTTTTAGCCGTAGGTTGTTTAAAACTTATCAAATTTCAAACTTATTGATACGAGTGGGCCACGCAATATAAGCTATAAATATTTGCCGCACGGTACATTTATTGTAATTGCATCGTTCTGCAAAAATGAAGAAAGTAAGTCATTGGCGTGATATTACCTCGTTACTTTAGTTGTCCTACCTTAAACGGCTGAAAAATGATGGGATATCAAATGAACGAAGTACTAATTTTTTTGCCAAGCAGCACAATTTCTTTAGTTGCATGGTCTTCGTGAAAGGAGCATATTGGCGCTCCAGAGCAAGAAGGTAGCCCGCCCTAGTTTTTTTTGGCGGGATAAATTGGCACAATTAAAGTATCGATTATTTGCCGCATACTTGCCGCTGAGCGTTAGCCTACCAACTATGGAGACCCGTCAAGAATGTCAGGATAAGGAATGTCCATAAGAAACATGAGTGTGTAATCTCCGTTCTACTTGATAAGTAAACATATTTTTTTTGTGGGATGTGACTCGCTCATGTTGTAATTCCGAAAAATCTTACTCGTGAAAATTGTTTAGAGTTAACTTTTCACGTCAAACTTTTAAATGTGTCATTAAGAAGACCCTCGATAACATCTTGATATCTCAATAAGTCATCATATTCTGACGATCCTAACGTGTCGTTGAGCTTAATCTGAACTCGTCTGCAGATCTCCAACATATCCGAGTGAGTTTCGATCGGTTCCTTATATTCGGGGAATTTCTTTAGAATTTCAACGTGTCGATGGATTTGTAATTGCATCTGATTGCTGAGGTTCAATATGGTGTACTCTATCAATTCTCCGAATGTTAGTGGTGAATTTTCATCACATACCTCATCCTGGTCTCGTCTTTCAGGCGGATTAGTGGAGAGAGGATCATTCTGTTGCGACCGTACAAGTATGGATACGTCCATCTTCGATGGGCTTTTCGGCTGCACTTTGAAAGAGACCTTCCTTTTAAAACGTCGCACATTTTTAGCGCTGTGTGTTGATCTAATTGTATCTTTCGTCGTATCTTTGATTAGTGGAGATAAGTAGTAAAGTTGACTTCGATTGAACCGAGAAATGATTTTTTTACGATCACAAATCTGCCGCCTAGCCATTTTGAAATAGCTCACCTTCGATCTTTTATTTTTTATTTTCTTCTGATTAGCGGTTTGATTTCAATCTCCTAGTTCTACCATCTTGTAATCAGTGAATATACTATTTTTATCGTTGTTCCTTTTCCTTTTTTGTTTTTTCTTTAATTGAATCTTATCCTAATATCCCGATTAGTAAATCTACATCGGGATTGTTTGTATGCTCGATGACACTTTAACGTGTTTTCAACGAAGTACGTATTTGCGATACTCGATCGGGGTTTATACGACCTTTTGGATTAGCAGAAGGGAAGATTTGAAAAATTTGCCTCGCCCCCAAACTTTTTACCAAAAACTCTCGAACTTCTCGATTGTTAATCAAAATATTGAAACTCATACAACAAACAAGAATTATCAGGACTATTGAGAATATCCATTGTGGGAATATCCACACGATGAAAAGCGCAGTGAATAAAATGCGAACAGTTAGTTTTACAATGGACGATATAGGCATTTTAATATGACCTATCATGCCTAATGTTTCGTTCCACGATTGTAATTTGTCCTGAAATGAATTTTTCCTTGCTCTCCTCGAGTTGTTGACATCTCGATTATCCGGATATGATGTCGCACGATGATGGTTCGCATCTTGGATATAATCGATATCATCATTCGTCATGTCAAAATCGTCATCCAAGATATTTCTTTGCGTCAAAATCGGTGCTTTCTCCATGATTAACGTACAATGAAATTGTTTGTAATATTCGGATGCGAGGATAAGACGCCGATAATTTTTGGATGAATCAACTGCGAGCGTCTCGACGAAATGCACACTATATTCAGCGATGATGATTTGTATATGTTTACCGAATAACCGTCACTACATTACCGATGAACCGTATCGATTCAGGAATCTAAGTTTGATATCATCGACCGAGTTTTAAAGGATCTTCGATCCAATCGTCATTCGAAATATTATCGTTGCAATTATTTGATCCCACAAGGACTCTTAAGGCTCTTTGTGAACTAATAACGCCTTCGTCGGAAGAAATAGCCGATGGAGATAAGTGATGTTTCAATTCTACCGGAATTACACGTTTCAGTTTTTTCCTATCAAAACCTCGTAATTCTTCGATCAGAGAGCCCCATGTACTTTTTAAAAGGCTCATCGAATCACGGTTTATTTTGGCCGGTGAACTTGACACTTCTGAATGTAATTTTCTTTTATTGTCATCGATCAACTTGTTTCGCGAGGAATTTGATTCTGTAATTGGTTTTTTGTGTCCATCAAGATGATTGGATATTTCTGACGTGGGTAAGGGAGTCGAAAAAGAAAATGAAGACGCTGCGAACGGAGAAAAAGTTTGAGGTGGAGAAGGAGGAGCAGGAGGAGGAGCAGGAGGAGGAGGAGGAGGAGGAGGAGGGCGAAGAAGATTCGGAGGAGGACGAGGATTTGAAGAAGGGTTAAAAATCAAGGATGGAGGAGGGCTAGATGTGAATATAGTGGTTACGTCAATTGGTTCGTTGCTATTATTCGAACCTATACTTTTCTTTTTTAGGAAATTTTGAAAATTCCCAGTGGGCTTGATAATAGCAATATTCTCTTCTTGGATCGAATCGAATGGATCTTCCACTACTGAGAATTGATTGATGTTAGCATCCCTGAACAGTGTCTGACCGTATCGCTCAGCGATAGTTTCTGGAAAAGGCGGTCGCACGTACGCATTTTGCAGTTTTTGACGACCAGTTACAACTGTAATGTAATCATCAATAGTTGATAAAACTGGTTCGACAAACAAAGTTCTTACTGCAGCCTGTTTATGACGAAGGCGACGGCTGCAATGGTCTCTCCTTTCATTTTTACTCCTGACCGAGTTTGAGGACGGCCAAAAGATGGAAGTCTGTCGTTTTGAATCTGCGAACGGATCTTTTTTCCAATGAAATCTGTCATGCTGGACGACATTCGTATTCAATTCGTGAAAACATCTACCCAGCTCCATCGCTGCACTGTTCTCTCTTCATTAAAACCGTACAAGGATGTCTACTTAGCATATATATTGGGAGTATGATTTTGGGTTCGTTGTTAGCGCGCACGATTTTTGCTTTCTCATGAAACTTTGACCAAGAGGATAAAGTTTCTAATTTACGCATTTAGGCCGACAGCTCTTTCGTGCAGAATGTAAGAGAGGAGACAAGGTTAATCGGTGTATGCTCATATTATTGAAGTATGAAAGAAATAAATTAG